TTGGCCCTTGGGTGAAAGTGCGCCATGTCAGCGCGTTCCCTGTAGTCGGCGCGGAGTTGGACGCCATGTGTGTATTTTCTTGGAAAAACCCTATTTTTCTGGCGTTTTTGCTCGTTTCTTCTCTGAAGGCTCTGAAAGGACATCTGACCTGAAAACAAAGGAAACAAGGGCATAATACTAGAAAAAAAATAATAAAACTAAGGAAAACATGTGATATTCGAGTCAGAAACATAGTGCAATTCGGTGTTATCAGTACCGTACCCGTACCTATGCATCATAGCTGCATTTCTTATTTGAAGAACTATGTGTTTATTTCTCTCAATGAGTTGTAGTTTGTTATGATAACAAATCAGCTATCCATATAAATTTCTCAATGATTTATTCTGATTCTTCTCCAGATCCCTGCCGGTTCAGCTTAGATCTCTCAACGGTTTATTCTAATTCTTTCTCGCAGATGTTTCCTCTGGTTCAGATAAATCTCTCAATGATTTATTATGATTCTTCTCCAGATCCCTGTCGGTTCAGTTAAATCTCTCAACGGTTTATTTTGATTCTTTTCCGCAGATGTTTCCTCTGGTTTAGATAAATCTCTCAATGATTTATTCTGATTCTTCTCCAGATCCCTGCCGGTTCAGTTAAATCTCTCAACGGTTTATTCTGATTCTTTCCCGTAGACGTCTTCTCTGATTCAGATAAATCTCTCAATGATTTATTCTGATTCTTCTCCAGATCCCTGCCGGTTCAGCTTAAATTTCTCAATGATTTATTCTGATTCTTCTCCAGATCCTTGCCGGTTCAGTTTAAATCTCTCAACGGTTTATTCTGATTCTTTCCCGCAGACTCTTTCTCTGGTTCAGATAAATCGCTCAAAGATTTACTCTGATTCTTTCCAGTTAAAGAATATTCAAGATCTCTTTTGGTTCAATTTAAACCCATCAACGGTTTATCCTGATACTTTCCAAAGGAACACTCCTGGTTTAGATAAATCGCTCCAACATTTATTTTGATTCTTCCCAGTCAAACAATATACAAGACTTCTTCTGGTTCAGATAAGTCGCTCCAAAGATTTATTCTGATTCTTTTCCAGTTAAAATCAAGTTCAGACTTAGTCCATTTTCTATCAACAGTCACCTTTGGATGGCACCTACAAGCCCATCTCCGACAAATCTCCATCATTCATCCAAATGGCATCTATAAGCCCATTCACAATTCATCTTCGAGTGCGAATTTATGGGCACTTTAGTGTCCAATCATCTTCCACCTTCAAGTCACGAATGGTGGATCCGCCAATCTAACTCTTCAGGTTTAAGAAGATTGAACAGGGCCAGCTGTTGTACCTCAAAATTTTCCATCTCATTTATCAAATATTTTCTCACAAGATATCCTTTGGTTCAAGACTGTACAAGGATTGACCAGCTCAAGACACCTCCTTAAGCACTGATAACTGAAATTAGGATTTGAGATTGCACAAGGGTAATTGAACTTTTAATGCCTTATATGACTTTCATAGATCTTTATGGACCCTCAGGTTTGCTTATGTCAAGTTTCAAGTCTTGGATTATAATTTTCCAAGAAAGTCATTCACAAGGGCAAAATGGTCAAAAGCACACTGAAAAATCAAACTTTGACTTTGGGATCAAAATCAAGTTTCAAAGATCATATTCCATCAAGACGTGATAGAATATGAATTTTGTTTCATCAAAAGTCAGAAGTCAGAAATTACTTTGAAAAAATCCAAATTTCTAAACATTTAGAAATATTTCTAAGTGTTAAGAGAATATGGTACTTCAAAACTTCTGGGCCATCCCCCACGCAAGCGCAATCAGAATTTGCAAACACGGTTCAGAATATGATGCTTCAATAAGAACATGTAGAAGTGATGCTCTTTGGTCAGAACATGATTCTTCAACAGGTGAAGGCTATGTTCAACGCTTCGGTCAGAACATCACCCTTCGAATCTCATTCAGGTCTTCTGTGATAAGAACATCACCAAATCCCAAAACATCGATTAAACAACCTGCTGCACTGCTATAGCACAGTACTATAACCAACAGCTAATCCATTCCATGCCTGCATTTTCCCAAATCCCATATTTGCACCAAATACAAAAAGTTGTGATAAAAAAGCAATGGAACAGTGTGCCAAAATGTTCAAATCCCATTTGTTTTTCTCCCAAAAAAACCACAGCAAACTCACCTATAAATAAGTTGCTCCATCACACTTTCAAGGGGATGACTTTTGGAGAGAGATAATCATTAAAATAGAGAAAAGAAAACATTAAAGCATTTGTAAACTCAGAATTTCCAAGCAAAACCAAAACCTTTGTTCTTCCCTTTGAATCAAAGAACATATCATTTTCTGTTATGTTGCTCTTGCTGACTCCAGAACACCTGAAGGCACTAGCTCAAATCCCCAATACACGCTTCAGATTCAAGGTAAGTCTTTTTGACTTTGCATCTTTTCATTCAGAACGTCATTAATATGTAAATATCATAGTATTAATGCTGACCATATCATTGCATAAGTAGAAGAAACAGTGGATCAGAACTTCTTAAGTAAAGCTAGACTCAGAATTAAGATTAGAACTTCTATCAACTGTTGTGCGTTTATCTTTCTGATTTGTTGTTAAGAACTGAATAAATTGCTGATATACTGATTAATATGAGGAAGGAGTTGAAATGTAACATATAATTTCTGGGTTTTCTTTCCCACTATTTTAACACAACACAGAACTTCTGAGTTCTCCTCACTGTTTCAACACACAAAATTTCTATGATTTTCTCACTGTTTAAAGACATTGGACTTATGACTTTCACTCACTATTTTAGCACAACTCAGAACTTCTGAGTTCTCCTCACTGTTTCAACATACATAACTTCTATGATTTTCTCACTGTTTAAACACACTAAACTTCTGATGTTCACTCACTGTTGGTAGCACAATACAGAACTTCTAAGTTCTCCATACTATTTTGACACGTACAGAGATTCTAAGCTTCTCTTGTTGTTCTCACATTCAAAATTTCAGCATGTAGTGACCCAAAACTTCTGTGTTTTCCCTCTAACTTTTCTTGCAGGATCTCAGAGTGTATCAATCTAGAACTTCTGATTTCCTCAGATGTTTCTTTCTGAACCACAGCGCACCCGACATCAGAACTTCTGATCCCTTTTGTTTTGCTTGCAGCAGCATGCTAATCCTACCTCCCATTATTCCCCTTTTTTCCATCATTTTGAATATTAATCCCTTTTTATTAATATAAAAAAAAAGACATAAAAATATTTTCTCTTTATTAATTCATTTATTTATTTTTTCTTAATTTATTAAATACAAAAAATCATTTTTAAGACAAGTCTTTTCCTTTTCTTATATTGTACATTTCAATATGGTTGTAATAGTTAAATAGGATTTAAATTCTTGCAACCCCCCATTTGTAAATTTGTACCCCCATCCCTAAATGATGTAATAGCGTAGGACATTTACATTTCCGTAATTTATTGTTAAAACCAATGCTAGGAATTAAGGTGTGTATGTGTTAGCTAGGAATTTCGACCAGGTTAATAAAGAAACTTCTACATTTTAAAATTTCCATAAGACGGCTGAAAAAGAGATTTTTTGTCGAAATATATTACTAGAGCTGCGTCGAAGATAGTTTGAAAAGTCAGATTGTTTATTTGGTCCAGAGGGCGCATTTTCGACGGTCACGTAATAAAATCATTACTGAAGGCTTGAGCGGGATTATTTGAAATTCGAAAAAGGTTTCTTTGGATAAAAAGGACGCGTGAAAGCCTTAGAGTGTCGAAAGACATGCAAGAGAACAATGTGGCATTTTCCTAGAATAGTACCGTTATGGTTAGGACATTATAAATAACTCTTTAGTGTTAAGGAAAAGGGGGTCAGAATTCGTACAAAGTTACTCACAAAAATACTCAAATACCAAGTTAAAGAGAAAGAGTTTCGTTGAGAATGTACGTATGACCTCACAATTTTATCTTTGAAATTGCACTTATCAATATAATTTTCTTTAAAATCATTCTTTTACATATTCCTGCAATTGTTCTTAAGATTCTTTATGTTACGTTAAATTCTTTATGTTATGTCGAATTGTCTTACTCTCCTGCAAAGATTCATAAATCAAATTCCTTTTAAAAGGCTCTTTTCTTTGTAACCAAGTCACTTAATTCCAGTATTAAGTCTTTTTATTGTCAAACATTTACATTCAAACCTTTTTTCGTTTAGTTAAGACGCTTCGTCTAAACCTTTACATTTGATTTTAATTTCAGAAGTCTTGAACTCCAAACCTTTACACAAACACATGCATAAGTATCACTTCATATTTTACATAAGCCCTCAAGAAAGTGTTATAATTGACGTTAAGACAATGTTCTAGGATCAATCTAGTCGATCCTGCAAGTAACCATACACATCAGATTTGTTTGGAAGACTAGCGGTTGTTTCGCCAGAAATCACTGCGAACAAATTGGCACACCCGATAGGACAGTGTCATAACGTTTTAAGAGAAAACCAGTGGTAATCATAACAGAGGGTTTGAAACACTATTTTCTGGTAATATACGCAAAAGCGTTATATGAACCTTAGGAGTGGCAGAGTTACTATAGAATCTCAACCAATACCTAAGAAAAAACACACCAGAAGAATGGTTAACACAACTAATGATCAAGGAGGACAAAATCCTCCACAAGGATCAGGAACGGTTGGTATAAATTCGACGACTAGTTCCCAAGCCATTCCAACATCAATAGGAGCAATGGCCGCATCTAATTCGAATCCACCTTACACAGGAACTGCTTCTGTGGCTAGTGCGACCAACGTGCCCCCCTACGGGGGTACATCAGAATCTCTGTCGAATACTCAAAATGGTCCTGTTCTGACATATATAGGAGGCTAAATACCACCTTCGACACCACACAGGCCACCAGGATTCGAAAATTTTAGGCCTTGGATAGAACAGCCATATGGAGGACCCTCATCATAACTCTCAGATGGTGCTAAGATGGAGGGAAGCTCTAACAAAGGTTGCAAATCTCTCTGGATGGGATCTGCGTGATAAGTAAGTAAAACATATGCTATTTTGTTTACTGTGTGTGCGCTTTTTGTTTTGGTTTCCTAACGTCATCATTTGCTGTCACTGCTCTACTTCTATGAACTTTCAGGCCACAATCTGCAGCAATTAAAGAGATTGTTCAAAACATAATTAATATATTGGATTGCAAATCTTCATGTGTTTTAAAAGATTTAGTTGGTATGGATTCTCCTATGCAAGAATTAGAAAAGCTTTTACTTTTGGACTCCGTTGATGATGTTCGTGTCGTAGGAATTTGCGGGATGGGAGGAATAGGGAAGACAACTCTTGCTACTGTTTTATATGACCGAATCTCACAACAATTTGGAACATGTTGTTTTATTGATGATGTAAGCAAAATTTATAGACTACGTGATGGTCCACTCGATTTACAAAAGCAAATTCTCGGCCAAGAGCACCATCAGATATGCAATCATTACAATGCAACTAATCTGATACGACGTAGGCTCTGTCGTCAAAAGGCCCTTGTGATTCTTGATAATGTTGATCACATTGAACAACTGGAAAAAATAGTTGTGCATCGTGCATGGTTAGGTGCCGGTAGTAAAATCATTATCATTTCTAGAGATGAGCATATATTGAAACAGTATGGGGTGGATGCAGTTTACAAAGTTCCTCTCTTGGATTGGGCTAACTCTCTTCAATTATTGTGTCGAAAAGCTTTCAAACTTGATCACATTTTGAGTAGTTATGAAGGGTTGGTTAATGGCATACTAAATTATGCCAATGGCCTACCACTAGCAATTAAAGTATTGGGTTCATTTTTGTATGGTCGAGATATTTCTGAATGGAGAAGTGCATTGGCTAGATTGAGAGAAAGTCCAGACAAAGATGTCATGAATGTGCTCCGATTAAGTTTTGATGGGCTAAGGGAGACAGAAAAAGAAATATTTCTTCATATTGCTTGTTTTTTCGACATGCATGTGGAGAAATATGTTTAAAATGTTTTAAATTGTTGTGAGGTTCATGTTGATATTGGATTAAGGGTTCTCATTGATAAATCACTTGTAAGCATTGAATATGGAATCGTTGTAATGCATAATTTGTTGGAAGAACTAGGCAGAAATATTGTTGCAGAAAACACAAGCAAAGATCCCATAAAGTGGAGAAGGGTGTGGTTCGGCAAACAATTCTACGATGTTAGGTTGGAAAATATGGTAAAGTAGTTGTTTGGATATGAAAATTTTATTTCCATTTTTAAATACTAACTGTATTGGTAATTATTTAAGTTATTTTTTCTTCATTTTCTGCTATGCTTTATGAAAAGAATGTTGAAGCCATAGTTTTGGATCATGAATATGAAGATATGGATGCATTTGATGAAGATATGGATGCCGTGATATTCAAAGACTTTTCAAATCTTAGATTCCTCATCATCAAGTATGTGAAAGTATCGGGAAGCCTCAATCGTCTTTCTAACGAATTGAGATATATTGAGTGGAGTGAATATCCTTTCATGTATTTGCCATCAAGTTTGTTCTAAGAGACCCCTTTGTGTGTGCTCCTTCCACTATACCCCGTAGATATGTAGATGCCATATATGATAATTTACATAATCATTTGGCACTGAGTGAAGCACAAGGTATCTAGATCCTAACAAATGGAATTATGCATTCAGCTACTCTATTGGTATTTCAGAGTGTCACATCCTTATATGACATTGGATGTTGAATTAGAGACATGTAGACCTACTCATTAAGAGATATCAGAGAAGGAGCAAGCTAGGACATATCATGTCGTTGATGTGTTACATGCATGTTGTCATATTATGGATCTTGAGCGAGCATATATAAAGAGATGAGACTTTTTGAAAGACACTTCTAGGAGGGCCATTATAGATTCCATTCTAATTGAGGCACTTACGACATTGTAGTACAGGAGATTGCAAAGGAACAACGGGGTCCGACATATTTGTATTAGGGATTATGAATAATATTATCGTTTGTTAATTTATTATTTTGACTATATTTTAACTGATATTTTGATTTTCATCTTATTAGATCAGCGTATGGTTTAATTGATAAAAAAATTATTATAATAGTCTAATTATAGTACATGGTCTATCACATCAGTGTATTTTTAAAAGTGTAAAAATTTAATACCTAAAGGGTGATTATGCAAGTGCATACTCATATTTTGTCACCTACATATATCTTTGAACTAAATTATAGCAAAATAAGGGTGTAATTCAATCACGAATAAATATGCATAAGATTATTTCGGGGATATAAATAAATATGCATAAGATTATTTCGGGAATATATATCTAAACTAAATTAAGACAAAAATGAGAGTGTTATTCAATTACACATTGATTTGGTGTAAATGAATGTATCCGAAGATGTACTTCCAAATTTAAAAGGACATTTTCAAATTTTCTTAAGATATTTCTCTTCCACTAAAGATGAAAGAAGTGATGCCCTTATAAAATTCGACCATAACCCATGCTTAGGTTGTTTACAATTGAAGAATAAATGAGTTACAAATAAGATTTTCTAGACTAAAGGCGCCCAATTTAAAGTTAGGCACCAATTTTTCATTCAATTCTTTTATTTCATTTTTTTTTAGACTAAAGACACCTAAATTTAAAGTCAGGTGTGAAACATGCATCAAGCCCATAATAACATAGAATGATGAAGACATCGTGAACAATTTAAGAATCTATAAAATCCCATTATCATAATGATTTACTTAAAGATTTTCTATGGTATTTAAGTTTGTCAAAATGCACACAAGGCAGAAAGATAATAATCTAATACTTGGGATGATGAAGTACAACATTACAAGAAAACAAAACATCACTACTCATCATCCTTATATGGATACTCTTCTGGAACTTGCTTGAGAAGTTTTACTTGCAACTCAAACACATCATCACCTCGAAGCGCATCACGTAGCCAAGTGACCTCAGCCTTCATTGATACCTGAGAACAAATGTAGAAGAATCAGGACGAAATCATGAGTAATCTATTTCATATTTGAGAAAAATACTCAAATTTCAGAAGACTGGCATCAAAACTATTTTTGTTTCCTAAGTGTTGAAAGCATGAAGTACAATATGTCAAATTAGAAAAGAAATAGAAACTCACCATATCCAAAGCTCCTCTAATAACTCCGCTTAATATGTTGCAGTAGTACAGACCTTGGTAGTTGTCAGGAAGCTCAACAAAGTCCACCAAAGGATTATCTTCCAAAACAATACTACAACAAGTCCCTTCAGCATCCCAATTGGTCACGGATGCAGTAACACCAAGGAACATTTTAAAACCAACCTGTATAAAAGAATTATTAAGGTTGATAAAAATAAAGTCATCTTCTGCTTTAAATATGCTTTACTAATAACATAATAAAATTCGGAAATAAACCAAAAAATGCTGATCACACAACCAAGTACCAGCACATAGCCCACTCTCGACAGTCACCCAACTGTTAGATACTGAAATTAAAGAAAAGTAGCAGAAACCAACTACAACATGAAACAAAAGCTAAGCAAATGTAATTAAATAGGTTGTAAAAAAAATCTATATATGAACTTAGGGTCATCCAACAACAATGGGCCAAGAAGATATAATATAAAAAAAAAAATAGTTGATGAAGATAAACTCTGGAATTAGCATGATTAGAAAGAGAAAATAAAGTTAAACGGCAATGCTTAATGAAAGCAATGTCATTATATCTAGGTCACATTTCTTTGAACGGCATAACTTATAATGAACATGCAATGCTCCATTTTTTATGTTTACTGATCATTATATTGGGCTCAAACCTGAATAATTTTGTTTCACCAATTCTATCTTCATATGCAAATAACAACACTTGAAACCAGACTGCATTTCATTCGTGTTCTAAAACCAGTTGACTGCCCCCTCAAATCTAATACATTTTTCCGATTTGAATGCAAAGCAGCTACAAACTCATAATAGTAAAATAATGATAAGTTATGCAAAAGGTGCCCCCTCTATTGCATCTAGTCTAATGTTTTTGAATCATATGCATCTACAACATCCATTTCAGTACTAAATAATAAACCTATAAACATACTTGTTCATATGAATTTGGCTTATGCAGAACGGTGAGGGTCTAAATCTCCCCATGCCTAAAGGCCCTTACTCTCTCAATAGCCAAGAAACTTCTAATCCCTCCCTCTTATTTATACACGTTACTGCCTAACCTAACAAACTAACAGGGTACATTGAACATTCACCTTGTTCTGAAGGTGAATAGCAAAGATAAGTTGTAAACAAACTGATCAGGATCCAATGATTCCAATTGTCTGAAGTCCTTCTTCACCTGCTCTAGCAGTGTCTATAACAGAACATTTCATACCCTTCTGCTGCAAAATTCTGCAGATGCTTATCTCATGTATTGAGTCGAGCCTCATGTCCTTCTCGTCTTGATTTCAAGACACTATAGTTCTCACCATCATGTCCTTCCCTTTTCTAAGATTTCATTAGAAAATTCAAGGAATAATTTCCCATATTGCAGTACAGATTGTAGAACTTTGACAGTTAGCTCCTTCAATTCCCAAAGACCTTTAATCTCTCAACTGACAAGATGCTTCTCTCTTAACCCCTTTCTTTTATTTATATATACATCAGTCTAACCCGCCTAACTAAGAGGGTAACCTATTAATCATTTTGATAAGAAGTGATATCTTTATTAGAAGACTAAATGAAGAATTTCCTTAGTACGGGATGCATCCCTTTAAGCCCTTACTCTTATTTATAGTTATACACATCATAGCCAAAGATAACCAACAGACTAACTAAGCTTTTGTTCACATGAACACAATCTAAGTTCTAGTTAGACTGCCAGAGGCCAGGGTTATATTCCTGTTATACTCAGAATCTCTTTTCCAATGTTCTAAGAATCTTGAAGTTCAAACATGTCCAGCCAAGTACGAAACTTAATTTTTGTGCCCGCAAATATGCTTTCCGGTATTTATTTATATTTCATATGTAGATTAAGCCAAGAACCAATACATACTTCCGTACACTCAAACTAGATAAATTTTTACTATTTATTAAAGTAGGATATTAACTAGATAAAATAATGTAATTTATGAGCACAATCTATGAAGAGTCTAAAATGAGAACTAAAATATATATTTATTTAAACTTATTACTTTCAATAAAAAAAAGACTTAAATTGAGTACTTTCAATTAAGAAAAATTATTTAAAACAAAATGATACAAATCTTATCATAGTCACTCCACATTGAGAAAACATGTCTCTAAGTTTTGACTCATCCAAAAACAAGTTATATGTAATATGTAATTAACATATAACATGAGTGAAACAAAGACAAATAACATATAACATATATAATTAACATAAAACATTTTTGTAATTAACATGAAAATACACACACAAAAAAAGACAATTTACAAAGTGAAACGCCGTCGCTGACGTACGTAATTAACAACAGGAAACAAAAACAAAGACAAATAATAAAAAAAGAAAATAGTATCGGAAGAGAAAGAGTGGAATATCGGCGGTGGCGACTATGAAATACCGGCGTGCGGAGAAGATGAAAACAAACAAAGATGAAAACAAAAAGAGAAGATGAAAAAACAAGGAATACAAGTTGTTTTTATAGGGGGAAAGTGGAATATGAGAGGTGATGTGTCTGTTATTTGAAATAGTATGTCGTATTTGTGTTCGTTGCGTTTCAATTTTTTTGTTGGACACTTCAAAACCGTGTCTGATACGTATCGTACGTGTGTGTGTGTCGGTGTCTGATATGTGTTTAGTGTGGGGGGACACGCCTTCTAATTGGTGTGTCGGAGCTTCATAGGATTAAATGAACAAGCAGAAGTGCCATTTTTAAATTTTTTCTACATGCGTCTAATGAAACCAAACAACAACACAATACCTTTGCAATCACATCAGCTGTCTCTCTGAAATCAACACACCTTGAGACATTAGATTTAGCCAAAAACTCATCAATCAAACGGATTCCAATATTATAACCCCTGAAAATACCAAGCAAGCAGCAAAATTCATATTGATGAAAGTAAGTAACCCAAATACAAATACGCAAAACCATGTAGCTAAAAATCCCACGAAAAAATGTGAAAAAACAAATTTTACGGCATCAGAAGATAAGAGAACACAACATATTGAATTGAGAAAGAGTTTCAGAATTGTACATTTGATCTAGCTGCTTGTTGACTTCCTCAACCTCTTCCAGATCTGTAAGCAATTGCCGCACAATTGCCCCATATGTCAGAGTAAATAGCTCGGCATTCTGCACAGTCCAAAAGAAATTTCCAAATTCTAACACAGATGGATACAATTAACTCAAAATAAGGTTTCCATGAACTTCAAACAAAATTGTCATTTTTTTATGTAAATCAAAATAAAAAATAAGGGAGATGAATCTAGAGTTTATTGGTGTAAAATTTTGAGAAAGTGGAAAATTGAGCGATGTTATTTTCTTGGGTACCAAAGAGAGTATAATGAGAGTTTTGATTTGGTTTTCTTACAACGCGTTCGATGTTTGCGAATATCGCATCGCCAGATCGAGGAGCAACAGGAGCCATCGTTAGAGCTCAGTCAGATTTGTTAAGCTGTAGAAATAATTAAATCAAATGATTCAAATATGGTAGGAATGAAACAAATCCAATATTTTAAAACTTACCCACAATTTAGGAACCCAATTCAAGATATTAGAAGCCACAAAACCAAAGCAGTTTCTCAGACTATATACAATTTTCCAAAATATAATTTATTTTTATATGATATATTGCTATCACATTATAAAACTAATGCGTGAATATCTACTAAACAACACTTTTCAAAATCACACAGCAAGTGATTTGGGATCACAAGATTGTAAAAAAAGTATCATTAATTATAATTTCGCCGATCCGTAACAATTTGTACCTAGAAAACTCGGATCTGAGATGTAGTGAAGATAAAGCTTAAATTGAAGAGAAAAATAGACAAGAGATTTAGAAACTACGAACCTTTGGTGTTAGTGAAAATCTTGCTAGCGGTGATGACTGATGACTGATGATTGCTCGCTGCTGCCTGCGTTTCGCGCAGGGGACTTGGAGAAACTGATTTGGGGGCTATTTTCGTAACTGTGTTATGTGATAATAGGACAATTTAGTTCACAAAAATTTATATATATTAAGAAATGGGGGTTAAGTCTGTTGGCAGTGACGTAAGGTAAAGGTGGGAAACGTTTGAGATTAGAGATCGGAAGGCAGTGGTGGCGGCCGGAAATCGCAGGAGGAAGAGACGAGCGCCGCTGGTTTCTCCTAAAGGGAGGAATAAATTCTGAGCGAAGTTGAAAGGGTACATGTGGACCCTAATTTTCTCACTAAACGCAGCGTTTTCTTTCTTGCATATATTTGTTTATTTCATTATGATGTTGGACTGAAACTCTTATTTCTTCTCAAGCCCATACTACAAGATTTTCGGAAGCTGTAACAAAAAACAAACAAAAAAACAGCTTATAGACTTTTAGAAGGGGCCTAGCGCCTCTTTACTACAACTCACCCCCAGGATTTCTGCCATGTACCCCCTTTGAGTCTTGGTTTTTGTTTTAGTTTCTTTTTTAGTCTTTTTATTTGATTTCTGATTTTCAATAATTGAAAATGATAAAAATAGTGGAGTATGATGAAATTTTTCTAGAATTCCTTTTTTTAGATTTTGATTAGAATTTTTTTACTATGGTTTATGTTTAATAATCATTTTGTTTTCTTGAAATTGGTGATTCACCTTTGCTTGTTGAGATCTGGAATCTTATGCAGGTTTAGTGCACGATATGCGGACATGTTCGAAGTTTCGATTATGATTTATTTTCACATCGATGATGCATCGAAATTAATATTTCTATTCTCGTAACTGTGTTATGTGATAATAGGACAATTTAGTTCGAAATACGGGTATCGCTGGGTATATAAACAGGATCTACAAGAGTTCAACTCAACAACAATGCATCCCGGAAATATGTTTACTCTGAAGCGCAAGTTTTTGGCAATTGAAGATGAGGCACAACCACAACCATAGCTACACTCTTTCAGGTGATGAAATAAATCCTAAGTTTTTTTGCAGAGGAAGGTCAGACATTTTTTCCTAGTTATTTTGTTATTTACAAATAAATAAAAATTGTTATTTAATATTTAATTTTAAAATTAAATAAATTATTAATTTTGATTGTTATTTATTTCATCATAATATCAATTTAATATTTAATTTTAAAACTAAATATATTTTTAATTTTGATAAGTTTAATCCTTACCTTACATAAAAAAATAAAACATGAATATTTTATATGAATTAAAATTATATTTATTTTAACATAAATCAACTATTGATAATTATTATAAAAAATTACGAATTTTGTTTTTTATTTTTAATTTTGTTATGTCACTCTTCATTATATAAAAGATGACTTTTTGTTCTATTTTCAAAGTTCTTCATTTGAATGATAATTTAATCTTGATAAAAAAAAGATAAATATGTACGGTTAACTTTAACATTAGTTTAATAATAGATCCCACAAATATTTAGAACATTTCCTTAAAATAAATTTTTTTAATGATGGTGGATGAAAAAAACAATTGTCATTTTAATATTTTCTTTATGCTTCTCGTTATGTTGAGTCGGTCTTTCCAGTTCCCTTTATTTGTTGTAAATAAGGTGAGAACAAAAGCTCAAATGCAGTTTATTTCTTTAAATTATTTTTATATATATTTGGTATGCTCTTTAAATTTATGAAACTTGCTTCAACTTGATCATTTATCCTTAACCAATTTTCATTGTGATTTCTAGGAGACACGTTTAGACAACACATATACAAGAAGGTCTGGAAGAGTCTCAACAGAGAAGAAACATTGACTTGATTTTCATTTTTGTTGTCACTCAAAGGTCAGCAAGGGATCAAAATGGGGGTCTGAAGCTTGCTAGCTTAAGATGGTCTCTTTTTTCTGTTGTATTGTTTACACACATAAAAATAATATAATGTAGGTTGTATTTTGTCTAACATGCTTTCATTTTTCACTGTATTTGGGTCCATATGGTTGTTGTTTTGTTCATATTTAATTCAACTCATATTGCTCATGATATCATCCAATGGTCATTCCAGTAAAGCAAATCCCCTAAATTAGAAAAAATATTTCCGACTAAGCAGAACAAAATTTGATCTTAAAGTGGAGTAAAATACAAATGAGGTTCTTGTCCCAGCATTGGAACAGTGAAATTGCAAATGGAATTTCTATTCTAGCCCTTAAGAAATAAAGGATGCACTAGCTACTGAGATAGGGCTAATTTATTAACATAGTAAGTCTATTATTCGATATGTATTTTAGTTACCTAACTAAGTTAGATGATATGCATGGAGACCTGTAATACAGTTAGGTTTTAAGAGCAACAGTGCTGCTAACAGCAATTATGTTGTTATTCCAATAACTTTCTTTAGATATCTTACTGGGTCGTGATTGTAAGTATCATATATACAATCACACTCTACATAATAATATCTGGGTCTGAGTGATTATATATCTTTCTCAACGGTTGTTAAATGGGTTTTCCGTAGTAGTGATATGACATTAGGTTCACAGTTGCTCCCATCGACAAATAGTTTATTCACCAAATAGTTTATTCACCAGCATACCATCCACTTTTGCCCTTATGAATAAAGGCTTGAGGTGACATAACATGCCTGGACTTGATTTCTCGAACACAACTTTTTGCTCCTCTGCCACACCATTATTTATGACATAGTATCATAATAGCCTCTCATCAACTGCTTCATCTGGCACATAATCTTCCTCATTTTCAGATATTTTTGACACTCTGTCGTACTCCACATGCAATATCGACACAATACTATAGTTGATGATGAAATTTTCGCCATAGTCATCGTCGACCATGTCATCCTCAAGAGGATCATAATCATCTTCCTCATCTTCAGGCAGAGGTTCATATTCCTCCTCCTTTTCATCTTTAGACATAAGAGTGTATTATGCATTTTGTGTTGCCACCACTTCCTTATTTTCTAGAGGTTTTATTCTCATTGCAATCTCTAATTGTGATCTTTTTTTTCTTCTGCTCAACCTCTGTTTTGGGTAACTTTTTTCATGGCTGGTATTTCGACAGATTTGATAGCTCTCCTTGGCTTCTGACTTTCAACAGGCTTTACTGCTTCCATGTTCTTAGGAATTTCAATGGCCTTCATCTGCGATGTCAAGGCTTCTTTCGCAGCTTTTTTATTTCTCTGATAACGCCTCCACTATGTTCTGGTTATCGGATTCTTCCCCTTATAGTTAGGAAACACTTGATATCCCTTGGGCTCCAACCTTTTCTCTTGAGCCTCAGCTTCTTGGACCACCACTCTCCACTTTGGCCTTTTTCCTCCTTTTTGACTTACCGGTTCCACTCATTTTTCTTGTGGGATATCCGACGGAGGACGAAAGGTTTTTGGTTGAGGATGTTGAAATAACCTCCTATATTCTTCATTTCGTAGAGGGATTTCCTCTTTGTTGAACACAAACCTTGGTACTGAAGACTTTTCTTCCTTGCACATTGACGATATAAGAAAAAATTCTCAAAAACATTCACAAATAGGATTGAGAAATACATGTAAATTGATTTTTATAAAAACAATTGAGGAACTCAAATAACCAACTAGTTACAAGAGATTGATTCAGAGTGAGAAGAGACATGCGTTCCTTTGCTGGAGTGAGAAGAGAAAGTGAACCAGTTTATAAAACAAAATTCACAAAACGGTACCCAGTTATTTGGTTTTGGGATTCATTGGATCCAATTTGTTTTTTTAACAAATGGACTGGGCATTTTAAAATTGGTACAGTTTGATTCTGGATCAATAAAGCACAACCAGTTTTTTTGAACACCTCTAATTATATAGAATATATCTTCATCTTCTTAAAAAAATAGAAATAGAGAGTGAATTTGACAAAGCGAGTGTAATACAAAAAGTTGGTCTACAAGAATTGTTCAAAGCCGTGTGTGAACTCTAGAATAAAGATGCAGGAAGTTTTCTGTAAAATGTAAGTGAGATGGCTATGGCGAGCAGCAGCAACACCTCCTCTTTAGCTCTGGTAACACTGCCATTGAGGAAGAATTTTGATGTGTTTGTGAGTTTCAGAGGTCCAGACACTCGCTTCAATTTCACTGATCATCTTTTTGATGCCTTTGAAAGAATAGGAATCACTGTATTCACAGATGAAGAAATACGGGTATCACTGGGGCTATTAGCTATTGTGGTTTAAGCCAAGTCCCTGAGGCTATTGGATGTTTAGGTTGGTTAGAAATGTTAAATCCTGGAGGGAACAATTTTGTGACACTGCCTAGCCTTAGGGAGCTTTCCAAACTTGTATATTTGAACTTGGAGAGTTGCAGGTGGTTGGAGTCTTTGCCCGAGCTTCCTTTCCCTATTACTCTTGAACATGATGGTGGAAGAGAACGGGAATGTTCATTTTGAACTGTCATAAAATAAGTGATAAGAAACGATGCAGCAGAATGACATTTGCATGGATGACACAATTCATTCAAGTGAACGAAGAATACCATGCCTTCTCTAATGTTGGTATTATCACTCCAGGAAGTGAAATACCAAGGTTGTTCAACAATCAGAGAATTGGTTGTTCAATGCCCGTAACTCCTGTTATGCATGACAAACGCAATAATGTCGTTGGCTTTTTATGATGTGTAGTATTTTCTTTAGGACCTCATTATCCAACCATGACAACAAGTTCTGGATGGAAACCTGAGGTACAGATGACACTATATTCACCGTCAAGAACCACTGCATCTCTTTCGGTAATTGCCAATGAAGATCTTATTACTGACAAATCAAATCACATCTGGTTAAACTATTTCCCTAAGGAGTCGTCCTATAATGTTCAGTATGGTCGTTTCCATGTTAAAATTGTAAGCAATGGAGGCTTGGATGTGGAGGTCAAGAAATGTGGGTATCGTTGGGTATATAAACAACATTTCAACTAAACAATAATGCATCTGAAAAATATGTTAGCTCTGAAGCACGAGTTTTTGGCCATTCAAGATGAGACACATCCACAACCACAGGTACACTCATTCAGATGATGAAATAAATCCCAAGTTTTTTGCAATTGAAGGTCAGACATTTTTCCTAGACTAGGACCACGCGATGCCCCGGACATACATTAATTTGTTTTTGTATTAAAATTTTAAAGAGAAAAAGGAATATGCACTGACATTAAATTAATTTTACACTATCAACCGATCACAATAATATTAAGTGCCAAGTCATACAGTTATTTTTAAATAAATTATATGACATAGTTAAATGATGATTTTCATTTGATATTACAGTGACAATTCACAACATTTTAGCTCAATTTTAAATGTGATTGATATATTTTATTTTGTTAAATATGATTAGTCAATTTGTAGTATTTTATTTCAAACTACATTCAGGATAATTAAGTAAAGTAAATATAAGTATGTTGAATTTAAAAAAAAATGAATTTCTTCTATATTTTTATCCGGATATTTTCAAATACATTTAATTTTTTTCTATGTGATTATATGTAATGATGTTATTCAGATAATTTATTAGATTTTTTTTAGAAATATATATATATATATATATATATATATATATATATATATATATATATATATATATATATATATATATATATATATATATATATATATATATATATATATATATATATATATATATATATATATATATATATATATATATATATATATATATATATATATAAATAAGGGTATAAAAAAATTATGCATAATCCAATAACTTGAAATATATTTCATATTTATTGAGATGATTTGAGAGTATACGTGTTAAAATATTATATATTATACGATATTGTACGAAGAACCTATTTCTTAAATTTTATAATTATATTTAAAATATAAGTTTATGATATGGAACTAAATAAAAAATGAGCCGAAATACTTTTAAATTGTATAATTGCACCGAAGAAATGTAACGAACCTTTATATATCTATTTAATTCACAATATATATTTTTAAAAATTAAAGAAATGATATATATTATAGTTTTTTTTTTGCAATAACCAATTTTTGAAAAAAAAAATCACAAATAACCATGTTTCAGAGAAAATTACGCAAATAATCATGTTTCAGAAAACCCCACAAAGGAGGAGCCAACCCAGTTGACGCCTGCACTAGCCTATTTATCCTAGGCGCCATCTCATTTGGCGCATGCTCTCTCTTTTAGCCAAGTGAGATGGCACATGCACTCTAAAAGTGAGAGGAGGCGCCATCTCACTTGGCGCCTAGGGCAAAATGCATTTTTTAATAAATAAGTCCTCTGTTTCTCCGTCATTCTTCACATTTTCTCGCACTGTCTTCTTATTTTTTCTCTATTATTTGCGTCATGACATCTTCTATGATTTTTACCAGAGATGATTACATTATTTTCTCGGCCATCAAACCTCCGATGAAAATGAAATTTTGGCACATTCGCTCCATAGAGCGTCTGAAGAGAGAGTTGATGTAGCTAGAGGGAGACATCAAGGATGGGGAACAAATTAGGAAGATCCAGCAAAGAAGAACAACTACCTCACTTGCAACAGAAAGACCTAATTTTTGGTTGGAGGAAGTCAAAACAGACAGAGACGTAATTTTGATGATGCATGGGTCAGATGAAATTGTTTTAACGGTTGTAATTTCTTATACGTTTTATCGTGTTTTTATTTGTTGTTTGCACACGGTTTGTTGTAACAACTGCTCTTAATGAAAAAACGTAATGTTTAGAACTTAAAAAAGTAAAGATGTTTTGCATACAATTTTTATGTGGTTGAGCTAGTAGCCTGAGTCGGACAATTTTTGCGATTGTGACCGACCCGACAACGTAAACCACACTTTCTTTTTAGCTTGTTAAGTGAGTCCATTTTAGTTGTGATGTGTTTTCTTTTGGGACAACTCTTTTTATTCCTTCGCATTTGGTCGTTGTGCCATACTATTTCACCATCGTATGCAGGCCAATAATCAGGTTTCGCTACCAATGAGAAGTTGTTGTTGTATACATTGAGCAAGATTTCAGACTTGTAAATGGGAGATAGAAGTTGTAATGTGCCTTGATGAGTATAGGCACATACCGCAATGACATGAGAGCAAGGCACATGAAAGGCTTGAAACTTGCCATAATCGCACCAACGAGAAGGTAGTATAACCCTATACTCTTGTCTTAGCAGCCCTTCGTTGTGGTCGATTGTCTCTTTGATAATAAAGTTGTGGCTGTATCGGTCGAACCTTATAACCAGATAGGTGTTGGCTTTGGCACTTTCTGTCTTAATATAATTCATGAAGCTTTCACTTCATAGTTGTCCCGATTGCAAGACAACATTCCATATTTCACCTCTTTTGGCAAACAACGAAGTCATCCTAAAATATGTTGATTTAACCAAAGCAGTTACTGGGAGGTTTCGTATGCCTTTGAATACCCCGTTCATGGATTCAATCATATTTGTTGTCATGTGGCCTCATCGTTTTCCATTGTCGTATGACCTAGTCCATTTCTCCACCAGAATAGTATCGATCCACCTACCTGCGTCCGGATTTGACAATCTGATTTCGTTGCAATAGTGTTTGAACGTGGGTTGCGTTAATGCATACCCTGCGTTCATAACCATTTTCCTAAGAGCTTTGTCTTTGATCTCCCTCGTGAAATTTTAGACTATATGTTTAATGCAATACAAATGCATAGAAGAAGGGTCATGTTAACCATTTGCAGGATTGTTGTATGCACTCTCAATAGATGCATGTCTATCAAAGATCAAACATAGATCTGGTTGAGGAGCCACGTGTGTTCGGATATTCTTGAGAAAGAAACTCCAAGCACCACCAGTCTCTCCCTCGACTAGAGCAAAGGCAATTGGGAAAATATTGTTGTTGCCATCTTGTGCAACTGACATCAGTAGCGTTCCTTTGTATTTCGCATACAACCAAGTCCCATCAATTTGAATAATAGGTTTTCATGACGCAAACCCTGTAATGCAAGGTTGAAAAGCCCAGAACACTCGACTGAATATTCCATTTCCGGTGACTTGAGTGCCATCTGGAGCGTACGTCGGCAGTGTTTCCATAATAGAAATAGTACCCAGAGAATAAGTATGAAGTGCATTCAGGTAGAGAGGAAGTTCTTTGTATGACTCCTCCCAATTTCCATATACCTTTTCAATCGCCTTGGTATTTGCTAACCACGCCTTTCGGTATGACAAAGTGTAGTTATATATCATAGTGATGTGAGAGATTATGGTTTTCACCTTCAATGATGGATCATTGCTGACGAGAGGTAGGATTTCTTAACATATAAGATCATAATTTAGTTTCCGATGATCCTGTGATTGAGTAGAATTGACGCACGTGTGGGTGGACATAAAACCTATGACCCAACAATCACCTCTTAATATGTATGATGCAGTGAGCTTGAACATATAATCTGGATAGACACACCTGAGCTTGTAGCTTTCTAGATTTACACGATCTACCTTAAAATCGACCGAGTTGAGCATGTGAATCTTTTTTATGGCTCAGATACAATCTTCTCTATTACGAAATTTGTCTTTCTCTTTTAATTTTTCATCCGACGACATATACGGATTGAAAAATAAATCAGATGAAGGTTCATCTCCGCCCATGTTGAAGTTTGTCATGTGTGGAGGTGGTGTGTAGATCTCATTCGGAGGTATACCAGGTATCCCATCATCTTCAGAATCATCATTGACCATGTCGTCAAATTCTAACTCGTCATCTTCTTCTTCGTCAACAACATCTACTTCTGCTTGTCCGGTCTCGAGAGGATCAACCACTTGTGATAGCTGAGGCTCTCGCAGCACAATTGACAACTCAATAGAGTCGTATCCAAAATACTCATGGCTGGAAAACATATTCTGAAGATCCTCATCATCTTGAACCTCAACCTTATAAAATATTATTTGGTTGTCACCAAAAAACCGGATTCTGATAAAAGATTTGTGTCACGGGACCTCGTCCAAGTTTAGCCTCCAATCATTTTTTGAAATACAAGAAATTGACTTTCCTGTTTAAACAAAATTGGATGTTCTCAGTGTCTCTAAACAAAAAACCAGAGGTGGGACAAATGTATGTCTCGCCGTTGAAATGTGCACTGATCACATATTATGGTGTAGAGGCCATTGTGTTTGAATGTTTGAAGGTTTAGAGGTTTGAGTGTTTGAAGGTTTAAGTGTTTAAGTGTTTAAGTCTTTGAGTTGATTGTTTGAATTTTTGAATGTTCTAGTGTTTGAGTGATTGAGCGTAGAAGTGTTTTGATAAATGTAGGATTAAATAGGTTGTATTGAATTTGAATAAAACAATAGTAAACAACCTCTAATTCGCCAACTGGGATGTCCAATTGTATTACATGCAAGCAGAGATTATTTCCCCAAGACTGTCAACTAGCATGCACCTACACTGCAACCCATGCCACCTCTATTTTTCCAACTGGGATGGTGACACCTTTCAATTTTTCTCATCCGCCAAGTCAAATGGCGCCTCCTTACATGTCCAATCGTATTACATCAAAGCAGAGATTCCTTCTCTAAGATTGTCAACTAGCCCGCACCTACACTGCAACCCATACCACCTTTATTTTGCCAAATGGGATGGCGACACCTTTTAATTTTGTACTCATTCGCCAAGTTAAATAGCGCCTCCCTACATATCCAATCGTATTACATGCAAGCAGAGATTCCTTCTCCAAGGCTATCAACTAGCCTGCACCTACACTGTAACTCATGCTACCTCTATTTCTCCAACTGAGATGGAGACACCTTTCAATTTTGTACTCATTCGCCAAGTCAAATGGCGCCTCCCTACATGTCCAATCATATTACATGCATGCAGAGATTCCTTCCCTAAGGCTGCCACCTAGCCTGCACCTACATTGCAATCCATGCCACCTCTATTTTGCCAATTAGGGTGGCGACACCTTTCAATTTTGTACTCATTTGCCAAGTCCAATGGCGCATCCCTACATGTCCAATCGTATTACATGCATGCAGATATGCCTTCCCCAAGGCTTCCACCTAGCCTGCACCTAC